ACGATGACAATGCATCATGATCCACAGACGTACACGGAATCGAAGATTTCTTCAAGCGAACGTTTGGCTCTAAGCATATGCTAAGTGAAAAGCAACAGCAAGGGAGGAAAATCCATGACTTACTCTGCCCGATCGTCTGTCCAGTTCTTTTTTAGTTTCTGGCGTCGGTGTTCAGGTAGTTCGTCCTGAGAAGCGGTATGAAATATACTGCAATCATTTCCTGTCAACTTACCTGATCATCTATGTCTTCGGTGAGGTCCATAAGTTCTACAGCAAGAATCTCGTCACCATCCTCCATCCCCTGTTCCTCTGGTGTTTGGTCTGCTTCCAGTGTACGTCCGTTATGGGAGAATACAAACTGCATGGAGGATGCACTGGTGGAATTCCAGGAATGTGTACTCGCAACATCGGATTTCGCAGGGGGGTTACTAGTCCCAGTACCTGCCTTTCCATCACCCTTTTTGGCTGTCGCCCCTTCCATTCTATCTGTCCATGCATTGAAAAGTCTAGAGAGTTTAGTCTTGCGTGATATTTTGAAGAAAAGCTCTGCACGATATCGACAAACGACCTTGACTACTATGTCTGGCATTTCGCGGTACTTCATGTCTTGCATTTTTGCCTTGTCCACGCGCTTAGCCATGTCGTTCTTCATTTGCATGATCTAGCGCAAGTCAAGTAAATAAACAGCTGGAGAGAGTCTACGCACCTCCTCCTGTGCTTCCTCTACACACTGCGCTAAGCGTTTACTATCCTCCTAGATGATTGTTAGATGTCCAAAGACTGTTCGAACAGCTGGCGCGCACCCGCAATCGCTTGTTATCCTACACGCGTTGTTAGCAGTTTCGAAAAAGCAGTAAAAAGGATCACCTTTTGCAATTCCCGGGCGAGATTCTCCATTTTTGCCTTGGTTTGATTCGCCTTCGTTAGCTGGCCCTTGGCTTTGGGTGCTGGTGAGCGAGGCATGGAACAACACGAGAGATGTGAGAGACGGACCGGCATCCTTATCTTTGACAAGCTTCTGCTTCTCCTTTGCATGATCCCGTTCGAGCCTCTTGAGCTCGGCGAACTGTAACATCGGCGGAAGGATGCGTGAAGGGCCGACGCGTACATCACGGACAACATACTAATTCAACGTATTTGGCGTGGATGGCATTCTCGCCCATGCCTCTGACGGACTTGACGGCTTCTTCAGCTAGATGGGGATGAGAAGGAGGGAAACGGATAAGGAAGAAGGGGCGTACTGAAGCGACGTTCCTCCTCCTCCTCGAGAACCTCCTCCTCCTCAAGGGCGGCGATGCGATTCTTGAGGCTCTCATACATGGCAGCGGGATCGACAGGGGCATCGTTCTTCTTCTTTGTTTTCTGAGTGCCGTTTGATGCGGAGGGGTGGGGCGGTGGACGTGGAGTTGAGGTGGACTGTGGGGGAGGGGAAGTGACGGGGGCAGGCGGGGCAGGGCCGGCGGGAGGTGGTTTTGGAGTGCGAGGGGGATTTGAGCCATTCATGGGAGGAGGAGAGGAAGGGCGGGGAATGCAGGGAATGCAAAATCTCAGTCTGGCAAAGTACGACAACGTTGTGTCCAATATTGTCACTTTTCATTGTCAATCCAACGCTCGCCTTGCTCTCTCTTACTTAAATAGGTCATGTGACACGCGTTCTCACTTCCCCTCATCATGTCAGGTCAGTCCCTTCTTGTCTCCACAACGTTTACATCCCCCAACTCTCCCCAGGCTTTCACCCAAGGAAGCGTATGCGTCTATCCTCACCCACCTTTGACGATCAGGTCGGCGACCTCAGCCGAGACGATATCGACGCGTTCGACTCCCTCGACGCGCAGCTATCTCAGGCGATTGCACGTCCACCACGCCCTTTCCCTGTGGACGAGGACGAGAACCCTTTTCGGTCCGACTCTCTGGCCACTCCAGGAACTCAGACACTGCGCATACATGCAGCATTCACGAGTGCCTCCGCACTCGACACCATGATCGTCCCTGCACAAGACGTCCCAGACGATGTGCCTCCAGAAGTCGACTATGCAACATGGTTCAACACCGATGTATCCAATTCTTTGGCCGGATTCAGCACCGCTGCAACAGTAATGCCTGGTTTCCAGAGACCGTCCGTCAAGAGCGGGAACGCAAAGCCACTCTTGATCCCATCAGCTGCAGCCTTAAGTGTGGCTGAAGAAAAGATGAGGAAGTGGCAAGAAGAAGATGTCGAGCAAGTTCCAGCACACAAGGAGCCCGATCCTCCTCACGTCGTGCAAGTAGTATCCCCTCCGAGGGTGACATTTTCCTCTGCAAGAAATGCTTTCTCCTCCAAGCGGCTACCAGAGACGCCCACGCCTGCTCCCTTGTTCAAGTCTGCAAATGCAGAACCTACGCCCATTGAATTGCACGGTTTACTGAAGAGTTTAGGCAGTAAAGGCCAAACCAAGCCGTTCAAGACTCCCCTGATCAGCGCAACGCCTTCCATCGCATCGCATCGACAACTGTTTACTCCGATCACCGATTCACCCTTACGAGACCACCATTCCTCTGCTACCGATCCCTATCTGACCACTATGGCCATATCGCCATTGCGTCCATCCTTGATCGCGAACCATGCTGTGGCTCAAAAACCGTTGGGTTTTACCCCGAGACATGGGGCTGCCGTCACAAGAGCAAAGTTCGTGACACCATTCAAAGCTGTCGCGAAAGCCGGCGCTTCTGGACCATCAGTATTTGAAAATTTACAGGTTTCACAAACTCCCTGTATTCCTAAAGCGACCGTGAGCCGCATATATCCACCTTCCATCTCGGTAGCACCACCGAGCAAGCGGAACACTAACAGGAAATTATTCGATCTCAGTGAGCATAAATTGAAGGCATTTTGCAAACTTTTCACTTTTCGTATCGCAGCTCCTCCTTCTGGCAGACGAACGCTCGCTACTTCCGGCTTGCGCCCCCAATCCTACAGTGCTAGACAAGCCGGGGAAATGGGAATGTCTGTTTCCTGTCCTTTCGCTCATTCAGACCATGCTAACAGCCTGCTTCAGAGATTTTCATGAACTTGGACAAGTGAATCCCCGGACAGCTCCTTTCTACGCTTTCGCGACCCGTGAACGCATTTCTCTGGATCCCTTTGATCCCTCATTGTCCCCTTTCTTCGGCCGGTCGGACGTGCTGGAAGAGTTACACACAAAGGGTTGCACGCTGGCCACACAAGCATGGATTGACAATCACTGGCTACTAGTTCTCTGGAAATTGTCAGGTATGGCTGCTCTCGATCCCCAAAGCGAGCAGCACCCTCCCACGAAACGTTGGTGCTGGCCAGAAGTTGTCCGTCAGTTGATGTACAGGTCAGCACGCTGATCCAGAATGCTCCAACTTTACAGTTCAAACATGACTTCAGATACGAGCGGGATCTGAATGGCTCTTCCCGTCCACCTTTTCGGCTTATAACGACCAGGGATGCGTCCGCTGAATCGCCAATGATACTCTGTATCTCAGACATAATCTTGCCTCCCAATGGTTCCGGAGAGGATTTTCCGCGAGTTTCAATTTTACCTGAGCTCGAGGTAACAGATGGTTGGTATCGGTTACGTGCGCGCATCGATGCCCCATTAGCGAGGGGTATCAAAAAAGGGAAAATAAAGATTGGGCGAAAGATTGCCGTAGTGGGGGCCAAGGTTAGTCCGGTCAATCTTGATGTTTTTCTTGCCTCATCCACACATGTTAGCTCTCGGCGGAGCGAAAGGAAGGTTGCGAGATTCTGGAAGCCTATGCCTCCAATGTTCTCTTGTTGACCGGAAATTCCACCCATATGGCGCCATGGCATGCGAAGCTTGGTTTTCAGCTAGGACCATTCATTGCGACACTAAACAGCCTAACAGCGGATGGTGGCAATGTTGCCGCTATGATGTTCAAGGTTATCAAGGTCTGACACCATGTGCCTCCCCCTGTCAATGGGTTCTGACCTTCGAATAGGCGCACCCTGTTGCGTACATCGAATTCACAGAAGATACCGATGGCAAGAAACAAAGGCAGGGACCACACGACGTCAAAGAGGAGCTAAAATTGAGTGCGCAACGGAAGGTACGACATGCAGCATCAGTTTTCACTTGTCTAACTGTCCGCAGACGAAGCGAGAGTCAGTTGCTTTACGGTTATGGTGTGAATATGAAAAGCGTAGGCAAAGGCTGCTCGACCATGCAGAGCGCCTCGAGCAATATGCAGGTTCAAAGTTCAGTCCCCGGCACGACGGTGAGGCCATACATCCCTGCACGAGTAACGGACACCAATAGTCACCTAGATGGTCTACCCGACAAGATTTATGACATGTATGATACCTTGCAAGAAGACCCCGACGCAACCAAGAACATTCTATCGTCAATCAGTCACGAAGATGCCGGTTGGCTGGCTCGGCATATCAGAGAGAAGGCTGTCCAGGAACGGGATGAAGTTGCAAGGGATATTGAGCAAGAACTAGAGGTATGAGCGCCCGGGTGTTGGGACTTTATCGGATGCTAATACTGTGTCAGTCAACCTGCCCACCACGAGATGTGAGGGCTTTCTGTGTGGTTGTTGTGAAGGATAGTCGAACATACAAGCATCCATGCAAGCTAACGGCACAAGTTACTATTTGGGACGTTCCTGGACTATCGACATCTGAATGCTCCGGTCAAAATCCCTTTTCACCCGGACAACGATATCTCGTGGGTTACTCACTCTTGTGTGTAAGTGTAATGGAGTCTGACGCACACGTAGGTGACAAACTTGGTTCCCACTCAACCATCAGCGTGGATGCACCGTGCCTCAGATGGAGAAGTGTATTTGAGCACTCGGAAGAATTCGAAATGGACATTGATCAACTAATCTGTTATGTACCTTGTACTGATACTGATGGACTAATACTGTTTTTGAGCAAGTACATGCCTCCAGACTCGGCACTGAACGTTTGAAGCTTGAAGCTTGAAGTTCCGAGTGCATCTCTATTTGTCAGAAAGAGGTAAAAGGTAAAGTGAGCCCGACCCGGATTGAACGGATGACCTTGTGGATATACCATTCCATCTCTGGAATCACACGCACTACCACTGTGCTACGGGCCCTCGTGGCGCCAAACGCCGCTGATCACCATTACGATGCACTACCTAAAACCCAAGCGCCTGCACCAATGATCAACTACGTGGGTAATAATCTCTAAGCCCAACAGCAGGGCCAACCTCTATAGCAAGCCTGGCTTGATTACAAGATCCTTATAAAGACTAAGAATGATGTCGTTGGCAGTCAAGGTAATGATCCTTTAAAGCATAAAGTCAGCACAACCGACGATGCAACGCAAGTGAGTACATACGTGTGTGGAGCAATGCGCAGAAAGTGTGCCGTTGAGCCTATTCGAATCAAGATGAAAATCACGATGAGGACACGTGCGAAAATCTACTTGCCTTTATACCATCCTAATACACCTTCGGCCTTGAAAGTCTTCCAGAGACAATCGATAGGATTCTTGTATAATGTACCTTGCAAACGTCCATTAGGCAACCGTGTCGTTGGTTGATTATACACGCGGGTAAGAGCCTGATGAACATCAGCGACGACCCGATGGGAAGCCTATGTACGCACGGTGTCGGCCGGCTGCATGACGATGCACTGTCAAGGATGTCAGAACAAGCTCTGAATTTGCGCATTGCATCATGACATACCACACAAACACCTGATACGGAACTGCTAGCCAGGTACGTCCAAATGCTGTTGGCAGGTAAGATGCCATATGTGACAAGTTGATTCTTGGTCCAGTTGTAGGTCGGCAATTGGACAGAAGAGCCCATGGCAGTTCGAAGAATAGCCGCATCCATACCACGGATCAGACCTCGGAATCCTTCGGCATGGAATATGGTTGAGAGTGCGTTGATGGAACTCTTGTAATGATGTTGTGCACCGACTGGTAATGCAGGAGAATATGCCTTTTGCGATGGTCAATTTATGCGAGGGAAAGTGGGGAGTCTAGATACACTCACTTGCATGCGAGCCTTGATGAGGAACAGCGGATTTCCGAGGGCAGCGCCGACTGCCCCGCTGGCGGCACCAGCTGCCAGAGACGTTAAAGGTATTTGGTCAGTCACAGGCCTGCCTATGACGCGGTTTATCGTTTGGCGGAATGGTTCATAAAAACCTGAATCTCATGTTAGTTTTACCAGTGACGGCGGGGGTCCATGACGCACCCAAACGAGATCCATTGAGGAGAATCTAACAAAATGTCACGGGCACTGAGAATGTAAATAAGCGGACGTGCTTGCCTGGTATGCATACTAGCAAATTGTGAGGCTGATGTCACGAACCAACACACACGAAAATCTTACCGCTGGGCCAAGACCTCGTTGCAGACCTCGGATGCCTTCGTTTTTCCACGATTTGGCGAACACGTCGAGAGCGTTCCTGTACACCTTTGGACCACCACCCTTTGCTAGTTCGCCTTGAAGTTGCAGACGCGTTTTTGCGACCTCTGCGGGATTTGAGACAGTAACCTGCACACATAAACAATAAATATACAAGAGAGCTTCGAAGGAGAGCCCTCACCGCAATGCAGGCCGCGACACCACCGCAAGCAAATCCTTCGGCGGTAGACAGAGGGCGTAACGAGGACATTCTAAGTGGGGCTTATGTGTGCGTCGGGAGCGAGTTTTGAGCGAGATAAAGAACCTACTAGACCATATTGTTTACCAGACCCTGAATTGTCAACGTGAATGACTTACTCGTGTTCGGTCAACATTTTTAACGCCGGAGGGACAAACAGTTTGGTATTGCCACCGGCTACTAACACTCCGACATGACCTCCACTTGATGCAGCGTTCCGACTATGAAACTGGTCCTGTCGTCACGACGAGGACTGTCCTCCTCGTCGGTATAATCGCAGTCACCGTCCCAGTCATCACCCGCATTGTTTTCTCGCCGATTACAATCGTCCTTCTCCTGCCGTTCTTTGTTGTTCTGGTCGTCTTATCTTCTCTCCTCGCGTACTTTCTCCTCGCGGTCAGGCTCGATTCAAAGCTGCTTGTAACCGAAAATTCCCTCTCCCGTGCTGCACGTCCTCTTGCCTTTTCCACTCCGGCTGCTTGGCAAGCCGTCCTCACTCGCTCCCAATGGTCACACAAATCTCCTCAGTCATTGCCCTCGTTATGTCCCGACATGCCTGTAGTGTCGTCCAACCTCAATGACATCATGATTCTCATAGTCCGCGACTTTGTGCTGTCGTGGTACAAGGACATCTCGTCCTCCCCGTCCTTCCCGACCGCGGTTTCAACGACGTTGCACGCGGCATTTGACCAGGTCTTGCAGCGCGCAACTACCCTTGATGTGCCTTCCCTCCTCGTCAAACGGATCTTGCCTAAAGTTACCTCTCATATCGAACAGTTCCGTCAGTCAGAGGTCGCTCTCCGTGGCGCTGGGCTCGAACGTCATCTCACGCAGTCAGAGGAACTCGACATGCTCTTAGCCAGCCGATACGTCGGGAAGGGTGAAAAGTTGCATCCAGCAGTAGACAATCTGTCATCGACCTTTACGAAGCAGAACGAGGAGATGCACTTGAGGGGCATTGTGGACGGAATCTTGCCTTTTATCCTCCCGGAGAATGAAGCGCGAAGCAAGGTCCTCAGGACAGTGGCACGAGAAGTCGTCGTTTGTACTGTGCTATATCCAATCATGGATATGGTCACAGATCCTGACTTTTGGAATCGTACAATCGAGCAAGTGGTGAGTGTTTTGTGTTTCTCCAGTTGGTCGTCTTCTCAGTTCAATGCTAGGCTGGAGCTGTGATACACCAACAGTACGTTCGTTCTATTTCAGATAGTGCCTTTAATAATCTTCTGCAGGAAGCTTATTTCCAAGGTACGAAATGTGCTTGAAGCTCAATCACCGCGACGTCAGCACCGCATCCCATCCACGGTCGCTCCCGGAGGTGATGTGATCACTATTCGCACTGACGTCCGTCAGTTTGAGTCGTTCCTTCGGAGCATCAATCGTTGTTCCTCCCTTTTAGACGCGCGTCGTCTCAAGAACGATGTGATGGGTGAAGTTCGTAGGACAAGATTATTACTCGGTGTGTTCTCCAGATTGTATTCAGCGCAAGAAACTAAATTTTAAATAGCAAATCACGAAAAGGAAGAGTGGATAAACGGAGAGAGAACCGAGGACGTCGTGGCATTTTTGGACAGGCTGTACACCGCGAAACGTACAGTTGAGCAACGGATTGTTGTCCTTGGCGGCGAACAAGACCCGGTTGGCACCGTTTCCTTGGCTTTAGCACATGCATTACTCATGCTTGTTCGTCTGACCAGATGGCTGTCATGCGCGAAACGCGTGCGCGACCACGAGTTTCGTTCAGAGATGTTCTAGGCAATCCGACGTCCCTTTCATACTTCATGGAATTCATGGATCGTCGTCATCGTTCATTGCTTGTCCAGTTTTGGCTAACTGTGGAAAGCTTCAAGAATCCCTTGGAATCGGTTGACTACACTTCTGGCGAAGAGGGTGATTCAATTCAAGATCCCTCCAACTCGACGACCCTACGAGAGGATATCTGTCTGATAAATGATCTTTACTTCTCTGTTACGCCGCCTCATCCGTCTCTATCCCCGATTTCGCAGAAGCACGTGGACACCATTCGGAGTTACGCCGCTAATGAGGTGACCCCCAGTGTCACCGAGAATAAGAAAGTCCGCCGTAGTGTCATGCTGGCTCAGAAAGAAGTGGAGCAAGAAATGGAGGGTGATTTTGAAGACTTCCAGAAATCGGAGTTATGGTTTCGAGTGGTCGAAGAAGCGCCTTTCAGTAATCCAGAGATTGGAGCATCCGTTCCAGCTAGCAGGCAACAGCCATCTGCTACCGTTCCGATTCCTAGAGTCTCGCCACTAGCACAATCCCAGATTACTCGTTCCGAGTCATTACCCTCTCTTGTTTCGTCGACCCGTTCCCTGGAGTATTCTCACTTGGTCCAACCTCCTCTGATCTACTCGCCACCTGCAACATCTCGTAGCAATATCGACGTTCTTATGGCTCCCCTGTCGGACACATCTTCGGATGATTCACGTGCACCCCTCTTCAACGACCCGGATGATGGGAGACCTAGTCTGGATGAAGCTGAACGCATGGAAGCTATCCAGGCCGCGTTGACCGACATCATCGCTACGGAACAGCACTCTGGTCAACGTCCAGATCGTGTCCAGGAGAAAGATGGCTTCGTGGCTTCAGTTTTCGACGTGAGGAAACCACGTGGGATGTTCGGAGACGAGGAAGATCCGAATGCTGATGAAGATAATGAGGAAGACGACATGGCGGATAACACCCCTGCTGTCGGACACGGATCATTTCAGCCTGCAGGACCGGGTGATCTCCAGCTCTCGTATGAAATTGTCCGCCTCGGCAAGAAAATATCAAAGTTAGAGGCCCACGCGGGGACGCTGGATACACTCATCAAGAAAGCTGAATTGACGGGAAATACACAGGAACTCCGCCTCCTTCGCAGAGCGAAGGCTTCAATGACCAGAGAACTTCGGGAATTGTACTTTCAGAAAACTCAGTACGAGCAACAGGAATCAGTTAACCGCCTCATTCCGCATAGAACAAGAGTTTCTCTTGTCAGTTCAACCGTCGCGGAGGAGGAAGGAAAATCCGTGGTCCGATATCTCGTCCAGGTGCAGCAGCTTTCTCAAGACGGAACGTTTTCATCTGGTTGGGTCGTTGCTCGGCGGTATAATGAATTTCTGAGAATGCACGGCAAGCTTCGTGAAGAATACACTGTAGTCCGCGGTCTCGACTTCCCTGGCAAGCGGTTGGTTACCTCCCTTTCGGGGCCTTTCATCGACACTAGAAGACAAGCCCTGGAAAAATACATGCAGGTATGTGACAAACATCTTAGACGCCCGACAACACTGACTTCTTCGCAGTGCCTGATCGCAATTCCTGAGATTTGCGAAAGCTCAGAACTTCGTGTGTTCCTATCGAGGGATTCACCATTCATTGCCTCAGAGGTCAAAGACGACCCTGTCAAAGGACAGGGGGCCTTCTCTGGACGGAGCATTGTCCAGTCAATGTATAGGTCTGTCACGGAAAG